CTATATGGCACATCCACAAGCCGTGATGCGTATCCGTCGGCCACTGTCTGCAACTTTGGCAAGTCAGGTGCGCCTCAGCCACACGTTGGAGGTCTTCGCACTGCTCACACCCCTAAAGGTTTTCAGAAGCATCAAGGGTTACCCGAAACATTGTCGAGAGAGCCCGAATAATTGATCTCAGGTGCTTTGCGTCACACGACTTTCAGCCCCCTTGCTACTACACAGGAGATTCAGTCAGGTCATCGAGCCGTAAACCCATCCCAAGCGGTGCAGAGTCAAACCAGACCTGGGGTACCCCATATACTCGTCATTCTGACTCTGACACCCTTCAACAACGACTCACTACTCTTGCAGGCATTAAGCGCCACTTTTGTCTGGCCGCTGCATCGTGTAGTCCTGCTCGCTGGGTTTCGATACTACCCAATCTCATAGCTGGGGCGTCGAGTGTTGCACAAGTGTAACAACTCCTACAACATATACATATGCACAGCAGAAGAGAAAAACATAACATGGCACATGTTATATATATATATATATATATATATATATACATATACATATATACATATCGTATACATATCGTATACATATGCGAAATGCAGCACCCCTCTGCCTGCTGAAAAGAAACATCACCATAAGCACGACAACCCTGGATACCAGACGGAGTGGGGCATAGCATATACATACACACATACACACATACACACATACATACATACATACATACATACAGAAAGACGAACAGGACGGACATACAGACAGACAGACAGACAGACAGACAGACCGACAGGCAAACAGACAAACAAACGGACGAGCATGCTGGACGCGTGCACAATGCACTATCTGTCATCTCACTTCGTGTTCGTATTAATGAATGCTACTCCTCTGCTCTAATTCGTGTTCTACTTTACTCATTGCGTCCTACACTCGACCATGTGAATGGCGGCCCCGAGGTGCTATGAGAACCCCGCGGCGCCCGCGGCCCCGATCCGTGGACGACGGGGTGTCCCGAAGACTTCAGTATCACTTTGACGGAGTTTGAAGAATATTGTCAGTGAGAACGTTTATCTGAGTTCTGGACTACAAAACGTTGGTGAGGGGCGGCGGTTGATGAAACAGCATGGGAAAACGGGCGCGATAGTCACCTCCCGAATCGCAAGCCGGAGAGACCGAAGTCCGGCTCTTCCTCAGGCTTTCAAGCTCATCTTCGTGAACATGTCGGAGATGAGCTGCTGCATGACGCCTTCCTGTTTGTCATCATCCACCACTGCCACCCGCGGTGCCAGCAGTGTGAGCGCGCCGCCTGGGAAAAGCCTGAGTTAGAGATTCCTTGAGGTTACCCTTTTCACCGATTCTGTGAAGACCCTCAAGGGGCCTTTCATGCTACAGAGCTACATGGAAACAAGCTTTCAGACCGAACAAAACAGTATATACCAAGAGCCGAAGAGCACGCCATCCAAGCCTCGAGAAGCTGCAGCCCCAAGTAGCTCCGAACGGTTCTGCTCTGACTCAGCCTGACAGCATCTGCGCACAACATCTTTCTTTTGGGGAAGTAGTTCGATTGAGCCATGAGAGGTAGGCTTTCTTTCGGACCACAGATAGTCCAAGATAAATTCAAGGATACACTCCTTCTCAAAACCATGGCCGGTAGAGTCCCTTCATGTTGAATCCTGCGAGAATCCATTCCTGCAAGCGGCCCTGGGGACTTTGCTGCTTTTGTCGAGGCCTGAAGAATTAGACTGCATTTTGGGGCGGTTTTCGTGTACATCGCCAAACCACCACTCCTGTGTTCTCCGAACCTCCTTACCAGTAGGGTTTGGGGTTTATTCTACTATAACTATAGTAAGGAACCCCCAGAAACTTACTTATTCTAGTCATGGAAGCCCTTACATTAGCGGTAGGAGCCTTCAGCAGCCTCAAAGACTTGTCCAGCTTGCTCTGCACGACGCGGCAGGTTTTCTGGTCCTCCTGATGGGAAACCAGAAGCAGCGGCTGAGATGGTTGGCTCGGGATTCCCAAATATGACTCCGTGTTGACGGTGTAGGGTTTCAGATAGATGGGCTAACATGACCCGGAACCCTCCCCATGACCTCCATCGCTAGAGAAGATCGGCGGACGGAGGCAGCGCTCAGGTGAAAGTCCTGCTCGTCATCATCCGCGGAATCATCGCAAACGGGCCATGCCTTTTGACTCTCTTTCAGGGGTTTAATAAATCATGCCGAAAACTTTGGAGGTATTCTTTTATCCGTTCTCTTCCCTGTTATATCCTTGTGGGGTTTGTTGATGAAGGAGCATCCCGCCACGCCTGGCTGTACAGCATCGTCGAAACTGGCAACCGAACCTCCTCCCAGTCTCCGGCATCGCAGCTCCGTTTCATGGCGGCAAAGATTGGTGTTTAGGGCTCTCAAGTCTCATAGGTGTTCTGTGCTAGAAGCTGTGGGCTGGAGGGTCTCATCCTAGAAGCTGGAGATTGCGGGCTGATCCACTGGAGCCACGAGCGGCGAGACAAGTCAGAATGACGAAGTAGTAAAGGAAGCTGCCAAAGGAAGGAGCTAGCACCACTGCGTCCTGTAACAGGGCATCCAAAACATAAGAAGAAACATGCCTAAAATAATCCAATTTCCCATTACCGGGGCAGTTAGACCAGGCTGCCCATCATCGGGCAGGCAACAATAGCAACATCATGAGTGGAGTCATCACGAGCATCTCAACCATGGCCATGGTTATCACTGCCATCGTTAAGAAGTAGACTTCAAGACCTGACAGCAGGCATACACCCCAACCCCGAAGATGGTAAAGCCTGCAACCCCAATGCCAATGCCCTATAAGCCCTACGTCATTGACCGCTGAAGTATCGGTCTAGTCAGCGTGGAAGACACGCAGGACCATGAATCAACGTGATAACAGACTGTATTTCATAAGAAGTTACTGAACCCGAGAAGCCCCCCCAAACAACCTGCAAAACAAAACACAGAAGCAACACCACAAGAAAGATGCAACACACGGAGGAGACACCATTACAAAAAACAGACAAGACCAAGCCCTGTAGGCTTGTTCCTCAGTGCCTGGCGCTCCGGAAGCAACGACTTCTTCTGTCTTCCGCAATAGGCGGGCCCGGAGACCACCCCAATGGCTCCTTAGGAATTCGAGTTTGGGTCTAGGATTTAGCTTCCATGGTTTTGCCGGCTTCGGGTTTCGGAAGTAGTGTTTCAGTGGTAAGAGCTTGGGTCGGTGTAGTAACTCCTTTGACTGGGGGAAGGAGTTTAGGCTTCTATGGTTACGTTTTAGAGTAAAACGTACGTTGTTTTTGACGCTCACACTCGGACAAAGCCTGGCAAGGTCTGCAATGTTTTAGGATCAAATGTGGATTTTTGATATGTCTTGGTTGAGGACAACCAGTCTTTTTGCAAGGTGCCGATAGCTTGGGGGCTTCCATATTATGGAGGGATGCCGTTCTGGGGATGTATAGTGACATAGTAAGTATTTACGTCGGTTATAATCGGCCGTAAACGGCTTCGTGGGTTACCTTGGTTTAGCAGCTGGCCGTGGGCAGGTATGCTTTCGGTGGTGGGGCTCGGAGCCGGAACTAACAGTTTCCTGTCTAGTCTACACGGAGATGTCTCTCCAAGAGCGATCCCTTGAGCCATTGTTTTTTCAAGATTCTGAGGTTGCCTCAACCATGAATCCCGAAACCATAAAAGCGCTCAAACCCGGAAGCCTGGAGAGCATCCCAAGGCCGAGGAGGACTGCAAAACTTAGGGCTGTAGGCCAAAACCCGGGGGCCTACACACAGGTACAAAGCTCAGATGGGCTGAATTTTGGCAGATACAAACCCAAAGCAACCGAGAAGTCTAACATCTGAAGTCCCTCCACCAATAAACCCTTTTCCTTTAAAACTTAACCAGGTTCAGTTTTAGGGCTTCCTCGCCCTCGACGAAAGAAATCTCTGAACTGACAGGTGGCTCATCTCCGTGGCTTTGTCCGTCTGGGCCTGTCAGAACTCGCGTTTTGGAACTGCCCTCATGCTTTATGTACCCTTAGGCTTCATATTTGGAATCCTATATATATATATATATATATATATATATATATGTATAAGGTAATCCCAAAAAGGAATTACCCATGGAGTCTCTGGGTAAATTACCATCTATTAGGGCTTAGGCTTTGGGTTTAGGCTTAGCCTTAAGGGATTAAGCACCTGACCACCCCGGGACTCTGCTCCAAAAAATTGTTAGCTATGGTCTTGAAGGCTGCAGGTTTGGAACCAATGATTCCGGCAGACGCCTTTGTATTTCGAAAGCTAAATGTCACCTCATACCATAGAAATCATGCCTGGCTTCCCCTGCACCCCTATCCTGAAGCTTGTCGGCTCGGCGCCCATGCTTGGCCTCAAACCCAAGCCCCCCCCCAGCACGGTACTGCAAACCAAAAACCCCAACCACTTTGCGGCTCAGGGTTTACTTGCGTTCGCGATTTCTGCTGTGGGTCGTTTTGGAAGTAGGCTTGAGTTCATGTAGCAGAGTCCTCATCGAGCCGAGCAGCATAGCAGTTCCCGTCCTCCCAGTAAGTGAAGAAGCTGCAGCGCTCCGTGCCTTGGATGTGAAAAAGCATGTTGTAGGTATGAAATTAGAGGAAATATCTGAATTCGCCGATTCAAGCTCCAAAACCTAACGTCTTGAAACCAGCTAGCGCATGGGTGGCTATCCAGCGTTTGTCGTTCTGTGTTCTCTGGCCTTAAACTAAGCAAAGAACGAAAGATTTGCTCATCGGAGTTCTCCCGGGCCTATCTGAAAGTCAGACATACCCGACAAACATCTTTCAAAGGCCATCAGGCAAAGCCCTTCAGCAGAACGCACCATAGTCCCTGTTTGAAGAGGGGGTTCTACTTAGATCTCCGTTCGCACACTCATTTCAGCGAGACGCCCTTCCTATTTCGAAGTTCGTCGGCGTGAAACTCTTCAAATTCTCTTTTCTACGCTCACTGCATGCAGTCAGCAAGCTTAAACCACTTCCACGAAGTGAGAAGGCTTGCCTTGCACCTCTTGGGTTCTACGGAAAGCTGCCGCATCACCGCTGTCGTCTAACGTCCAGAATCTAATGGAGTTGTAGAAAGCAGATCTGATTCCGAAATCTTGGAGGTACCAATACTCTCCTCGAGTTTTGGGAAAGCGTCGCAGCACATGGCTGGGTCTGACCAAAACTTCGTAGGCAGTTAAGTTCACCATCATGTTGGCGGTGGTTCTGGCAACCAGCATTCCGACGAAGCACACCCAAATTGCATCAAACGCAGCCGTTGTCAGAACCAGAATTGGTTGCAACTCTGCTCCAAGGGACCCATTTCTCAGGGACTCCAATAGCTCAGCGAAGGAGCCCCGAGAGATCTCTGGAAACACCGTGTCGAAAGTATAAAGAAATACCGTGTAGTGGAAGTAGAGGAGGGCGGCAAGAAGCACGGTGATGAAGGAAAAGAAAGATCGTTGATTGCCCAAACCAACGCTGTTGTCTATCCATGGGCAGTGATGGTCCATTCGATCAACACATCGACCTTGTTCCTTGCAGTGGTGCGAGCGAAATTTCCGTACCGAGCGGCAGATAATGCACACCTTCTTGAAGTCGCCTTTCTCCACCAAGGCTAGATACTCGCCAGACCCTTGTGCCACTAAGTGCTCCACTCTGGCGCGGCCCAGATTCTCCACTGCAGCACGTTCACGCTCGCTTAGAGCCACAGTTGCTCGCTCCAGCTGGGCCTTTTGGGAGCCGCCATCGAGTTTCGAGGGGATCAAGGGCTGCGATTCGCCCAAGGCTGGGCTTCGGGGATCGCCGCATCCACAGCCTTCTTTGAGTCGTTTCCGTGCTGCTTGGAGAAGATGTCGCTGGTAGTTGTACTTGTTCTGCTCTAGCTCCAGCTTCGTGGCCTGCGGGACCTCGCCGTCGCATGCCAAGGACAGCTTCTGAAGAACGCTGTCACAATGAGCCATCTGTGACTCGATCGGCTGATCAGCATCAAACGTCCCTGCTGGATCTTTGCCCAGCAGGCGTTTCTGGGAGTTTATGGTGCGTGGCTGAAGCCAGCCAGGATCCGAGAAGAGGCATTGCACCCACAGCAGCAGTGACAATCCCACTAGCATCGACCAGATCAGGACGGCTTCAGGATTTCTAGCCGCAATTCCCGGCGCTATGACAAAGGCAAACACGATGATGTTGTAGACAACGAAACAAAGGAAGAGACCCGCGTAGTTGTTCTGGAAAAGGTATGGCCGGCCGAACAAAAAGTTAAATACCTGGCACTTGTGAAAGTCAAGCACCAAGTGCCTCTTCCCTTTCCGCATTGCGAGTTCAATCGGGGTCTCGCCAGCGCTATCCGGGACTTCTAAGAGGTGCACCGCCCCGACTTCCATGAGCATTTCCGCGATCAGCGTGTGTCCTTGCAGGGCTGCCTGGTGAAGTGCAGTCATGCCTTCTCGGTCTCGGTGAGCAATACTGGCAGATCGCGAGAGCAACCACTGAACTGTCTTCTTGTTCCCCTGGTGGCATGCCCACAGCAGAGCAGTTCTGCCGCAATCATCCTGCTCTTCCACGCTGACACCTTTGAGGTACAGCCACTCCATCACGGGGCTGTTGTCCGATTGTGCGGACACCAGGAAGGCAGTGAAACCATCACAATCGCGGATCGAGAGAAGAGCTTTGTTGGCCCTGGTCATCGCATCCAAAGCTATGACATTGGAAGACTTCGCGGCCCAATGAATTGCGGACTCTCCGGAATAATTGGGAATGTCAGGTCGCGCCCCTCTTTCCAGTAACGGGGTGAGGAGTGAGTCTAGCCTGAACCATGCAGCATAGTGGAGAGCTGTGTTGCCTTCCGAGTCCTGCTCCTCCGCTCTGTAACTCTGCGACAGCATCTCGACGACCGCCTGAGGGTTCTGCTGTGCAGCAGCCTCTGCAACGGATGCATACCTGGGAGGGTCAAAAATCGGAGACTCCACTATAGAACCCTAACTCATCTTCATGTTAATTAATCGGGTCCTTCTTGCTAGGGATCCCAACCCTAAAACCCATTAACACAATCGGGATCTTATCATGAGGACCCCAACTGAGGTACCCTGTTTTCCGAATCTCCCACCTGCTGCCGCTGCTGCAGGGCATGACATTCGGCGCATGGCTCTTCATGCTGAAAGGCAGCCGTCAACGAAGAGTCGCAGAGTTCCCGCTTGTAGCTGATGCTAAGCTTCGGTACTACGGCTTAGCGAATTAGTGCTTGGCAAACTTCGGGTTGAATCAGTTTCGAGCTCCGAGATTTTGAGCTCCGATTCCTGAGGCACACAGAAATATCATCACAAACACCCAAACGAGCAGTCCAGCTACACCCTCCCAGACCAGTCAGCCCAAACCCCGACCTTGCAGCCGGAACCCTCAACTCTCTTCCACGAAACCATTTTCGCCCACGGATCAGCCGGATGAAAAGGATGGTGGCGAGATGCATTGACAGTGCTTCTGGCACTCCGCCGCATTGGAGGCCTCAACAAACAAGCCAACAGTGGCCGTGGGGCTTGGGCATTGGGCTCAGGGTCCTGCGACGTTTCTTATGTCGGGCTTTAGGGTGTTTAGTTTTGGCAAGGGGCGTAGGGTTTCGGGGCACGTTGTTCTACCCTTATCATCAGGAACCCCAAGAATGGTATCAATAGTCGGTAAGATCAAGATCCCTGTAGTACTTGATTCTAATGGCTCGGGCTAGGGCGGGGGGGGGGGCTCGATGCTATGAGGCAAACGGGGACCTGGCGAAATCAAGGCCGGAAGGTACTTCGCATTTGCATGGCGACTCTCAAGCTAGGCTCTCTCGCGCCTACTATGTGTGACTGGACACAGGGTTTGGAGTTTGGGGCCAATTGGGATAGGGCTGTTTAAGCATTCTTATGAGCATTAATGGAAGAGAGCGTCTTCAGTACGAGGGAACACGAATACGGCTAAGATGTGGGTTTCCAAACAAGGGGTCGGATTCTCTGGACACGCCGCATACCCAGAGCGTGACTTGTGTTCCGGTTAGGATCCCGCACGTACGACACCACGTGCCCAAACATGGGAATTGCTTGAGAGGGACAGGGTTTGCCAGGTTTGGTCTTGCTCACACCTTTCTGCAGCTTCAAGAGTCTATCGAGCAGAGACAGCAAAGAAACTAAGCTAGATAACCTGACGAACACGTACACTAGAAAGCCATCATGCTTCAAAAATCTGAAGAGCCCCATCCTAACGCCATAAACTCAAATGCCTCACATGTACATCCCCTGAAACATCTGTAAGCGGACCCTTACACTGAGGAATATTCCTTGCTATAACTAACCTATATTGGGCTGGCTCGGGCACAAAGGTAAGGTAGGAACCTAGTAAACCTAAGACCTTTAGGCTGCAAAGCCCTAAAGTGTAAATAATAAAAGATTTACCCTCGAACAACGAAGCCACAAATCCAACAACAAATCCTGTCTACTCCAAGCTCTCAAACCCTAACACTTTTAATAATGCTTACACCATGAACCCCGGAAGCCCGCCTTTATCTGGGACAAATCGTGGCCTGACCGCCCCCGCGTGGGCTCGAAGCAGTCGGGTGTAGGCTCGATCTCCGGCGCAATCTGCGGGGACGCCGCCTGTCAGCTGTGTTTAGGGCTGCGGTTCAGGATTGCGTGCTCATACACATGTGTATTTCTGCTTGCATGTATATATACTATATACATACACGTTTTGTGCTTCACTTTTGGGGTTAATTACAGTTGCAGTCATATATCATGAATTCTTTTAGGATGCAGGGGTACATTCATGTCATCTAGGGACTGCTGGAAGGGAAATGTGTACGTAAAATGTGAGGATCTGACTTGGGAGATGGCCGGGTAGCTTTTAGATGTGAGGTGACGACTCTTGTGCTTGGATACAACCTATAGTCTCCATTGTAGTTCCTTTTTGGGGTTACCTTGTAGGATCCTTAGTATATGCTTGGGTAAACGAAAAAAGAAATACAATAGGAACCCCCCAATGCTTTTAACTAAAGCTCATCGATGCGGTCGTATGCACCGAAGGCTATGGCTGAGGGGAGCGCAGTAAACGTGCTGCCAGCCTACCGGTGGCTGAAGGGTCATGGGACTCAGTGGCCAGATGTACAATGATAAGTGCCCGGGATTGGGTTGCTATGCTCAAACTATACCGTTAACCCTGGAGCCCAGATACAGCCTATGCTTGCTGCTTACTACTTCCCTTGATCGCGCAAGCAACCTGGAAGTGCTCGCTGGCTGCAGGCCGGGTCGACATTGCCTCCTCTGTCACTCACTTGAGCAGCACTTGTATGGTCTCCTCACGACCTGCATCATGCCCAGTCCTTCTCTTACTGACTCGTCTGCCTTACCTCTACTCTGAGGAAACACGTCTAAAGGCCCTCCAACACCCCACAAGCGATCAATCTCCCTAATCTATTATAGTTAATAAATCTCTGAACATCTGCGAATTTACACACTGCGCTCGCAGAAACCCTAAATAGCCCCAACCCGAATACCCCCTGAAGCTCTCCTATGCAATCCCCAAGCCTCAATACAAACCCAAACCCGGGGCTCTCCTTCGTTGGCGAAGGCTCTGCGACCTCTGCGCGCCCAGGCGCTCGAGGAGCAGCTTTGGCATCCTAGAGATGTTCTACAGGGCTTCTTTTTCTTTTTTGGGGAGAATCCTACGAGCTGTTTTTCAAGAGAGATGTCCTAAGTCTAGAGTTTGTCTTTTCGGGAGAAGGGGGGAGGGCACAAAAGGGTTCTAGAAGGTTTTACAAGGGTTTAGGGTTATACTTGGCCTACAGTATTTCTCGTCATACATCTCAAACGGTTTCAAACAGTTTGTGTGAGGTTCGACTATGCATGAGTTTGGGACGTGCGGTCGGGCTACCAAGTATATTGGCGTTACGTTCAGGGTTTAGGGCAGAAATAAACCTCCGTGTCAGCGTAAACTAACCGAAGAACCTCAAGAGCTCGAACCAACCCGCGTCAGCCTTAGCTTCAGGTCAAAGTGTACTATAAAAGGGTGCAGAGACTCTGTAGGGTCTTGCGAGGTTCGAAAACCTTAACCCTCCCGCTAAACCTGAACCGTCAAGCCGAAAAACACGCTTGTAGGACCTTGAAAAAGAAACCTTTCAGTAACCTCTACAAAAACCAGCCAACAAACCCTTGTTCAGCACGGAACCCCATCAAACCGCAAACGCGACAAACCATAAACTCTGAACTCCTCAAACACCCTAAACCCTAAACCCCACACGTCATCGCCATCTCCTCCTTGGGAGTTCGAGGCAAAGTCTCGCCAAGATTCTCTGCCAGCGCCTCTGGGCAAGAATAAGAACAGCCAGTGAATGAGAATGTAGGATAAGGGCTCTGAACGATTCCTGCATAATGTGGCGGGGGGGGTGGGGTATAAGTAGGTATACCATGGACTCTAAGGAACCTACCTTTTTAGGGCCCCCTAATATGATTTCTGTATATAAGTCCCCAAAAGGTAGGTTATTTGGGCTTAAGGTATGGGTTGTACATAGAGGTTAGCACGTTACTTGACGAGTAGGCTCGAGTCTTGAGGTATCTTACGGGGTGGTGCTGAAACTGATCCGAGGATTGAGGGCCTCTGGTCCGAATATGTTGGCCAAAAGCCCGGTCCCCCCTACAACCCTACTAGGAGGGGCTTTTGAAGCCTTTGAAAAATGTTAGTAGGTAAGATCCTCTTAAGCCCAAAACGGGAACATATAAAATGTCCCAAAGCCCTACCTGACCTAGTTGCATATTCCCTTGTCACCCGAAAAACTGCGAATTCCAGCATATTTGTAAGTATATAGTACGCAGAAACATACATACACATCATAAGGGTCACACCCTGAAGCCCGGGCTATTTCACCCATAAATCCTAAGGTTAAGATAAAACTAAAACCCAAACCCAAAACCGACGGACCAGATGCTAGTTTACCTCGGGACATGCAAGAAGCCCTTGCTGGCTTCTGTGCACTTAGGCAGTTCCGCTTCTTCCATTGCAGGCGTCTTCAGGTTTGTTGGTCTGTAGATGCTAGGCAGGTGCTCCCCTTCATAACTATTGAAACGATTCCGGCTATCAGGCTCTGAGATCCTATGCCATCGCGTTACCCAAACTTGAGAGCTAAAGAATCTCCAGTCAATCTTAAACGCGAAACCACCACCTGCCAAATCATGCCATGTGGCGCACAGCCAGTCTGGGCCATGTAGACTGTAGACCCACGGGTGTTGGCTCAGAGAGTGCACCCGATGCCGAAACACAAAGCCGAAATCACAAACGATCCGAGCTCCAAACCCCTTCGCAGCATTGTTTCCTGCCCGAAATGACTGCAGCCCCGCACTCCCAAGATATAATATGTCACAGCGAACCTCCGAAGCCAAAGTGCCAACCCCCTCAAACCCTGCATAACATTAACCCAGGCCTCAGAATTAAGCTCCCCCCTCCCTCTCAAAAACACAAGTTAGACCTCGCGCCACTTGAGGTATATGTGGTGGTTTTGTAAAATTCTTCTAAACCCTCAAACCCTTGAACCCCTTTGTCCGGGTGCCTTCCAGGGTGCATCGGCCGAGGCCACCAAGGGCGCTTCCGCGAGTCGCTCGGATCGTGGCCGCGTCGCCTGAGCTTAGAATCACGGTTTAGGGTTTCGACACGCGCGCACAAGGCTGGCACGGCTTCAGGAGATCTGGCGTGCTACAGGGCTTGGTGTTTAGGCCAGGCAAGGTCTTAGAGTCACTGCTTAGGCATTTCGACTCGCACAATCGCAAAGCCGGCACAGATCCAAGCGACACGTCTGATCTCGACTTAGGGGTTCAGGGGTTGATGCGCTTAGGTTTTATCTGGGTTTAGGGTTGGCTTATAGAACTTAGGAGCGCCGCAGCCTTCCTGGCGCACCGGGAGGGAGTGCTTCACCTTCGGGTGCCGGCCTCCAGGCTCCCTCGAGGCTTTACTTAGAATTTCTGGGGGGGGCAGACTCCCTTCAAGACCTGGCTCAAAATAGGCCTTGCCGGGGAGCCAGATAGAGCCCCAGCAGCACACCTCCAAGGATCGGTCCTGTTCGCCCATTCGAACATGAAGGTTCTGTCGGGCCATGTTGGAAGCTGCAACAGCGTGGGGGCATCTGAGCATACGGGCTTCCG